CTAGTTGAAGATGTCCCTGCCCACGGCAGGGGGGTTGGACTAGATGACCTTTAGAGGTCCCTTCCAACCCAAACTATTCTATGATTCTATGATTTTTGAAGATGATGTTGTCTATGAATAGGCACGTTTACTTGCCACTGAACAGGATACCAGTAAGCCTCACTACTGATTCTGTATGCAATATTTGTACACATGATATATCTTGAAGATGAGTTTGGCAATGCTCAAAAGTCTTTACATTTGTCCTAAAAAAAAAAAAAAATATTGTTCAAGCATGGTTTTCTTTTGATGTATATGAAACACAGGGCTCCTGCAAGGTGGTGGCAATCTTTCTTTTACAGGCTCATTTGCTTTATAGGATCACAAGATAATTCACATTGGAAGGGGTCTCAGGAGGCCATCCAGTCCAACTTCCTGCTCAAAGCAGGGTCACTTAAGAGGTCAGATGAGGTTGTGCAGGGCTTTATCCAGTTGCATCTTGAAAACCTCCAGGGAGGGAGATTGTATAACCTCTCAGGGTAGTCTGCTCCACTGCTTGACTGTCCTCATTGTGAAAAAGTTTTTTTGTTACGTTCAATCTGAACCTCTTTTGCTTTAACTTATACCTGTTTTCTCTTGTCCCCTCTCACCACGTACCATTGTGAGGAACCTGAACCCACCTTCTTGTTAGCCTGTAGGTAGGTGCTGGGGGACTGCAATCAAGTCCCTCCAAAGCCATCTCTTCTCCAGGCTGAACAAGCCCCAGTCCCACAGCTTCTCCTCATAGGCCAAGTTCTCCAACCCCCTGATTACCTTGGTGGCCCTCCGCTGAACCTGCTCCAATTTATCAATATCTTTCTTGTATTTGGGGGCCAAAATGGAACAAATGCTAAATAAAGGCATGTAATCACTTCCTTTAATTGTCTGGCTATGCTCCTGTTAAACAGCTCAAGATGCCGTTGGCCATCTTTGCTGCCAGATTACACTGCTGGCTCATGTTCAGCTTTCTATCTACTAAGACCTCTAGGTCCCTTCCAGCAGAGGTGCACACTAACTGGTCAGTCCCTACCCTCTAATGCTGCAAGGATTTACAGCATTAAAGGAGCTTGTAAAAGGAGCAATTTGTCTTGCTGAAATTCATAAAGCTCCTGATGACCCATTCCTCTAGGTCCTTCTGAATGGCAGACCTGCCCTTCAACATATCAACTGGTCCACTCCAGTTTGGTGTCATCCACAAGTTTGATGAGAGCGCACTGTACAGATCAGGTTCTTTGGTAGCTCTGCTCCACTGCT